ACCCAGTCTGTCACCTAATATTACTATTAGATCCACAATTTTGCATGCTACTCGGGTCAAGTTCAACGTAATTAGAATACGTTCTGAGCTTGTTCACCCACTGGAGACAAAATAAAGGAAGACGAAAATTTCGACGTTGACCAGGCTTTTTTGAGGATGCGTCACGACTCCGTATTAGTCGGAAATCTAGTGTCCTCTTGGAACAAGTTCGCCTATACCATTGCTTGTGAGTTGCGCTAAGGCACAGGCTGGCCTTTACACCGTTTCAACCCTTTTTGAGACTGAGTCCCGCTCACGTTTTATTTCTTACTGGCAGACAGCTTCTTGGAAGACAGTTAGATACCTCGCGTTGAGCGACCTTCCTTGTGCAAGTAGTCTGGCCCTCAATGTCTAAGAATATCCCACTTTGGCGGCTTCACAGTAGGTGACGAAGGCGCTGTGGCCCTTGTAAGTGGCATTTCTGACGTTTCCTCAGTTGTCTTGCCCACCCAAAGTTAAAGATCAAGTTTGTCGCGAGTGAAATTTTTACACCCGTTTTCCGTTCTTTTCGTTGTTTGATGGTCTCACTTTTGACGCGGAGAAACCATTGTCGAGCTAGAGGTGATAGGATGTAGCTTTGCTGAAACTAAGCAGGTCCGGAAAACTCATCGAAAGATGCTACCCCGTCTTTGCATACAATTGGAGTACTCGACAGACACGGTTTTTTTTTGTATTTTTCTTCTTTGAAGAGTTATTTAGCAACCATAGGTTGGTGAGTGGCCGCCACAATCCAAAAGATACAATTGTGAGTTTGCCTTCAAACAAAGTTGTCTGGCCCTATACAAAGTTTGCCATGAGTTTCAGTTTCTACAGAATATTATGTTAAAGGCACGGTGAAAAGGAAGGAAACTGAGCGGCAACTACATCGATATTTCAGTACAAGTACACATCTCGTAGCAATTCGTTTGCGTGAAGAAAGGCACGTAGGCAGGCACTGCTCCCATTGCTGCATCCACGACTCCCTCAAACATTTGCAGAGCATGGTGCTGAAGACTTGAGCGCTACTTCAAAGGATCCCCCACCCTTTCTGAGATCAGTGAGCCACCTTTGTGGCTCTGCGAGTCAACGACTCTGCCAGTCAAGAGATTCGAACTGCGGCGGTGGGGCAAAAGCGATTTTGCAAGCAGCAGTAGGTGCGCGGCATTCACATTATGACTGCACGCAGTTGAAAAGGCTACGACTTAGGACTGCACGCAGTTGAAAAGGCTACGACGAGTATGAACTAGCTGTGAGACAAGAATATTCAACAGCAGTCATCTCCTAATTTCTACAACAGTTTCCGTCGACGAGCTGGACAGGCAGGAGTTCCCAGTACGACCTCTGCCTCTAACGGCTGGAGTAGGACTCTATCACATGAAGAATATCCAACGATAGTGAACATTTCAGGAGTTGCTGCTCAGACAGAGATGGTCCCTGCTCGCTTAAACTCAGACCTCATGACCAGCAACCACTCTGCTACCCCACCCCTTTTTGGTCGCGTGTCTTTCATGTAAATTTTTTATTAACTCAACCTCTACTTCAACTTCATTTCGGTACCTCACCTGTTTACACAATATAGGTGGTTTGCGGCATCATCGCACAGTACCCTTCATTCTGCACATTTGGAGACAGGGAATGGTGCTCCTCCCTCACTTCTGACGTCCGTCGCGATAACAGCTTACAGCTATTAATTTCGACTCATTGCTACCAACCCTTGAATTGCGAAACTGTGAAGCGTGAAACTCACCTAGCGCTTTTCTGATCGTGAGAGACGTGGTTGTTTGTGTTCACCATAGTGACAATGCTGATGTGATCCTCATGATTGAGTGCTTCACTTTCATACTGAAACACGTTCTCAACTGATAAGATTGAGGTAGATCTCCCCAACAGCACATGGATCTATCATATGTGGAAATTATTCAGCTAACTTCTTTTCTCACCTACAAGATGCCCAACGTTTTCTACCTTCTCTGCGCTCCTACTTCTAAACTTGGCGCACCCTCCTCGTGCCTTTCCGTAAAATTCGCATATCGGATGAGAAGGGGGATGAGGACATCTCCGATCAATTATTAGAAATATTACTTCTACTGGATCGCTAACTGGGGATATAGTGCACAGAGATGGTGGAATTCAGCAGTCATAGGAAGTTTCAGAAGTTCTGGTGCTTCTTTAATTATTGATTTTACGCACTCGGGTACTGCTGTACTTAGAGATTCTTTGCGGTATAGTACAACGAAGCCGCATCAGGAGTGGTGGCCAAAATCGGTGCTTGCCTACTAAATTTAAACATGCACGTGGAACTCATCTTTTCTTGATTTTTATTTATGTTGCTATCCCTTTTTATGGCAGGAAACTACTGGACGAAATGCAGGGAGCGGTTTGCGAATAGTAAGCTGAGTGTTAGAGGGAGGTTTTTCTTGCAGTTCAAAGCCTCGGCCGCTTTGCATTATCAGAATGCGTCCGGTGCTGAAATGTCGCCGGCAAGCCTTCTAGTCGAAACAGTCGAATAAGACAGATAAAAACTGATGGCTACTCGCTTCCTTCTCAGATTCCCCAAAGCATGGGTGGCTTCCCATTTACCTTCGATAGGGTTGCTGTTTCCCACTCCTCGGAGGATATCAACGTGTCCAGACCTTCGTTTCACAGCGAAGGGGTGGAAGAAGCGCGTGAAACCCGGAATTTCTCAAATCCCAACCAAGTGGCTTGCTGGTAATTTTCCAGTTTAATATGTACATAATGTTAAGAATACAATACTGAAGTTGAGTATTAAGTAGCCCATATAGGATCCAATTTGAGGAACTGCCAAAATACGGTAACAAATGCACACAATAGATTACAAACAAAAGCGAATTCAGCTGTTTAGTTGTTGGCCAGACCGCACTAATGAGCATTAACAATAGCGTTAGCAGCCACGGAAAACCTTTAATTAAATTAATTTACAGAGCGAAAAAGAATCAGAACGTTCCTCAACGAACCAAAGTAGGCGTGCCACCACAAAGTAAGACAGCGGCAATCAGCACTCTATATATGACGACTTCGTCTGAAGTGGTATGTAAGATCGCGGCCACTTATTCGTATAATGTTACTGGCGTTATGGCAAACCTCACAGTTTCATCGCATTCAAAGCAACATCCCAATCTGGGCGAAGCTAGATTGCACCTTCTATTGTTTCCGTAATGGTTGAAGTTACTGCAAAGTAAAGGAAGACGCATTGAAGAAAGCACGACATGGATGCCCCAACCGCACAACTTGGAATGCGCCCTTCAAGACAAAGACTAAATACATCTATTAACTATATTTACGATAAGTTCCAGTGAATATACGAAAGTATCATGGCAGTAGACATAAGCGAAGTATGAAAGTTCTGGAAAACATCAATGTGCGATCAAAAAAGCCGAAGACAAGTATAAATCGGGCCTCAGCGGCTTGATGAGACCATTTTTTGACAACAAAGATACAAGCTCAATGCTGATGATTATTTTCCAGCTGGAGATTCAACTCACGGTTGATGTAAACAATGAAATAGGGAGGAGGCATCATATCGAGCACTTGAATACGAACTCGGTAATTGAAGCTTCCAGCGCCTTCAACTCGTGAAACCATTCTCTTGTCTCGATTGCAATCAAGTGAGGCATTGGCAGACAAAGAAAGAACGCCAGAATTGAGAGACTGAAAAACCCGGAGCTACCTATGAAGGATCGCAAATTTGTCACTTTTTTGTTTATTTTACTGCTTTCGACGTGATGACTTAATTACTGCTATACCAATAAATCATTTTGTCAATCGCTTACGCTCATCTAATGACTGGTCAGTTCTCGAAAAAGTTCAATTTGCATAGTTTCTCTGCTAGCGCAGATTTCTTCGCATTCCTACAGTATAAATGAGGACCGCGCTAAAGGTGTGAGCTGTAAGGCTATGGCACAAATGGAGAAAAGAGGGTAAGAGGCCGTCTCGGGGACAAGGGATAGCGCGCTAACGGACAGGAGATGATACCTACAAGTGCGAACATGCCCAACATGCCCTCTGGCTTTATTGTCGCACGAGTACGCGGTGGCAGAGACCATTTTTTAGCTTCCCTTTCTTCTTCACTGTTTCGCTGCTCAACACATTAGCACCAGTATTTGAGCCCCATTACCCACCATTCTGCTCGCGGGACGGGACGTGTTTCAAGCCATCCATCTAGACCACTCACTTTTAAATGTACGGTGGTGGCAGGCCAAGCGGTCTTCGCCACTCTTACCGTCCGTTCTCTCATACTTAGACAGTTAACCTGACGCAGATGTGATGTACACACAGCTGAAGAGCAACTGAACTAACATCCCTAATACAGACTCAAAGGCAGTTGGCACGATAAATCCTAAGACGAGTAGGATTAATACGCCTGGCAGGACGGAATTCCGCGCCCCTGAGCAGGCGCTGCGTAGCGCCTTTTCCAGGAAGGTACCCTTATAAGGCCCTATCAAGCTACAACATACCGACCCGAACGCCCACCACGCCCGCCCGCCCACAAATGGACGACCGTACCTGATGCTCGTATTGCTTCATTTGCCAAGTAAAATGAAGCAAAGGGATTGGTATGAAGCGGCTGCGGTGCTGCATGATATATGAGTAGATTTGTGCAGCCGTGCCCACCGTAGCGGTAACTGGCAAGATGATATGGGAAGCTCGTCCGAAATAGCTTTCGGGTCATTAGGAACTAAGGCCTTCCCTCGCAGGTATTTGATCGTTTCACTTCGTTTTTTTGCCGTTTTCCCCACTATGTGGTGGCCAGCATTTTGGGCCGAGCACGAAATTATCGTGCCAACTGCCGTTAACCAGTTTCATTGTAATGCTATCTTATGCACCTCATATCTGCGAGGTGTGGGTTTTGCACCCGCCTGGTGACATTTTTATGCTCATTACCAGCAAATAGTCTCCTACTCAGAGGCATTCCCCTGGGAACTTGAACTCGAGATAGGATCCGTCTATGTGATGGTCCAGCGGAAAAATGCTGATTGCGTTTACAGTGATGTATTCTTTCGTTTTTTACCAGTGTAGACCGAATCGCTGCACGCGGCCCCGCTGGACTGGATGCGATGGAAGAAATGCAGGTTTCGCGCTAGAATTGGATCCTTCAAGCGTAGGTTTGGTTGTCCCTCAGAAGATTATTAAGAGCAGCCTCCGCTGCTCAAAGGCGGTTGGCACGATAACAAGCACTTGCCTTAAAATGCTAGCAGGTGGCAATATACTGAGAAAATGGCGAAAAACGAAGTGAAACGGTCAAAAACCTGCGAAGAAAAGCCTTCGTTCTTCACGACTCAAAAAGCAATTTCGGACGAGTTTCCCGTACTCATCTTGCCAATAACCGCTACGGTGGGCACGGCTGCACATATTTACTCATATATCCATGCAGCACCGCAGCCGCTTCATACCAATCCCTTCGCTTCATATTTTACTTCGCAAATGAAGCAATACGAGCATCAGGAACGGTCGTCCATTTGTGGGCGGGCGGGCGTGGTGGGCGTTCGGGTCGGTATGTTGTAGCTTGATAGGGCCTTATAAGGGTACCTCCTTGGGAAAGCCGCTACGCAGCGCCTGCTCAGGGTCGCGGAATTTTGTATTGCCAGGCATATTAATCCTACTCGTCTTGGGGATTTATCGTGCCTACTGCCTCCAAAATTTCTCCCATTCGCAAGGTGGAAAGGAGTGTTTGATTGCATTGAACCTTGTGAGTTCATCAGATTGGGAGACCTGCTATTACCACTGGCCTTGCCTGAAGGATGGCTGCAGGATAGCAAGCTATTTTCTTGGCTATTTTCATTCTGGCTGAACCTCGCTGAACTAATTATTTTGGCCGCTATGATCTCGCTGTAGCCCAGCTTACGCTAGGAAGCTTTTTGTGATCAACGGCTGACCTTGCCGATGCTACCAGGCGACTCACCGTTGCTGTACCAAACCCTTTTGACAGGGACCATTAACCGCAGAGTACGTGATGGGGACGGCCAATGGTATTACAAGTAGAACTTTTTGGGTACTCCTTCTCCAGCCTTTTTTTTGGTAGCCCAACCCGCGCAGACACACTTCTTTTTCGAGATAAGCAGGAATTTGGCAAGAATTGCGTTCTACACAAATGTAACCAGGGTCGCTTCAGTCGTTCACGGACTTGTACTTAGCCTCATGTCGCGCCTCTTGAGTATCTCTATAAAATTGCAGGATACATGACTCTTTGTGGCTTCGGTGGCTTCTCCTTGTTAGTTTTTTCAAAGTTTTTGTTATGCCAGGATATGCTTGAGTCTGTCCTGCTCAAGATACAGATGAACATCTTCAAAAACCTAGCCCGATGTCTGTGGAGCTGTTCCAAACCTCTTTGTGACAATTATCACAGCTTACTTAACAATTTTAGCATTCATTTTATTCTCGCGACAAGTACCGACCGATTAAAGGCTGACGCGACAATGCGGTCTCAATACTGACCCAGAACAGGTCCCCCCACTGGGATGGCCGACTTCCTTTCGAGGGTTTTGCAGTCGTTCCCGCTCTCGAACTGATCGCTTGACGGGCTTGGCTTAGATTCCTATCAAATGCGGCACTAAGCTTTTGAGCTTCATAAGCTTCGAAGCCGCATGACGGGTGGCATATATTATGATGTAAGTATTTAGTCATGGTTGACGATAAAGACATCAGTCCAGCACTTCAGCATCAATCAGTTATCAGCACTAAGCGGGCGGTAGTGAAGCCAGGCAGAACAAAGAGAAGCTGCACAAAAAAACTTCCGACAAAAAGTACTAACAGCTGATCACTCCCAGTACGAACGATCGACTTCGTAGGTAAGTGTGATGTGGATGGCATACGGCCACGTAGCGATCGAAACTCATCGCTGTGATCAGGAACGTGGACACAATCCGACCAACTGAACCACAGACATGGTGCAATTTACACATCCATGTGCCGAAGATCCAGAAGCCGATGACACTGTCCTGAAATAACTCAATCACATACGCCGGATTGAAATTACTATAGTCGTTTTTGCTGCAGACGGTAGGGCGTGACCGTGGACTGGGTTTGGCGCGGCGCCAGCCCATCTTCCGTCAATTGCTGTCGCTGCACGCATCAGCAACTGGTGGAAAACGGGCTGGAGCAGCGCCAGGCCCAGCTCCACCCTCTAACACAGCCCAGCATCTGCAGCAGAAACAATGCTCATTACTAATTTGAGAGGCTATTTAACGGTAAGTGGTGGCGATGCAAGCAATTTCCACACAATCGGGACGCAAAATATTATTCCTGTGGATAGGAGTAGTAATTCTTGCTGTAGTCTCTCGCACTGATCGTTGATTTTTTGCGTACATGCTTCCTAGATTCAAGGTCAGGAGATCTGATCTTCGGCTGGCGGAAGTGCCGCTAGGAATGACTTCCCGTGAGTACGAATCTAGATGACTTAAATAGCGCCCGCGTTCATTTGATGTTCCTACACCCTCCTTAGATATCGTAGCTTTGTCGACAAGGGTGGAGGATGTACTAATTTCGCAGCTCAAAAATACGAGAGGATGGCGCCACCCGCTTGTGAAGAGGATGCCGCCCCGCCCACCTGGCTGCCATAACTGCTTTGGCTTAGCCTTCAAAGGCTGAGCCCGCTTTCAAGAATAATGAGTGTGATCTCAGTAGTGGAGAAAAAGGCAGAGCAAATCCATGGAAAACTGCGCTCAATAGACCCTATGCTGGCCAAGGTGGGCATGACAATGGCCACTACCGCGCCTGTAAAGAAGAATGCGCCCCGCCCACCTGGATTGCCATAACTGGCTTTGGCTTTAGCCTTTACATGGGCTGAGCCCGCTCAAGAAATAATGAGTTATGAGGTCATTAGTTGTGATCGCGTAGTGAAGAAAGGCAGACCGAGTCATGGAAAACTGCCCCATATAAGAACCCTATGCTGGCCAGTGTGGGCATGACGGCCGACTCTTCACTAGCGAACGGCGCTATCCTCTCGCCTTTTTGAGATGCAAAACTAGTACATACTGCATCCTCATAGGGAGGGCTATGATATCCAGAGAGGGCGCGGGAACATCAAATGAACGTGGGCGCTGCCTTTAAGCTAGTCCTAGCTTAGCCGGGAAATGTCGCTCAACACGCTATTTGCCTCAATTCGGATCTCCTAACCATAACAACTGGGAAAAAGACACTCGCGCATATCAACGCATGACAACTGTCAGAATGCATCATTTCCCTTTTCCCTTTTCTTCTGAATCAATTAACTAACTGACCTTGCAAGACCTTCCCAACTTGAAATTTTTTAGAACTCACTAAAATTGCTGGCGGAAGACTGAGGCTCATCAAGAAATCGCATATACATAAGGCTGCTATGTACAGTATGGCATTATCGCCGTGGCGTCGCGTTCTCGCCCGTCGATCGGCCATAACACCACGTATCAGCGTCAAAATGGACGAGTTTCCACATACTCCCACGACGAAGCATAGCACGAATACCACTACCACCAGCAGCACCTTTGGTTGCAACTCCTGAAATAAGAGTACGATCAATCTTATGGAACATCAGAAAAAAGTTATGTCTAGTTTTTGCAATCGATACAACAAAAACCAGAACATAATGTAATTATTCGTCCATAGAACTTAAAAATTTCTCAAAAAAAAAATTGAAGAGAAATTATTGGTACAAACTCTCGGTCAAAACTATTGGCATAATCTATTGGTCAAATGAGTGCTATCTCAGGTATGTTCTTTTGTGCCAACGAGGCTGATAGGTTGAATACATAGTTTGTCATTGGCCTGACGTTTCGAATAGATCGTATCAACAAGGGTTTATGAGTGGCTCGCTGTTTAGAATAGGTCACTCAGCTCTCCGACAAGTCACTACGGGGGAACGACCCAAAAAACCATTGGAGAGATAGGCGAACCCAGTGAACCAGTAGTGGAATGTTGCCGATCTTCTAGCAGTTATTGTGACAAATCAAACTTACTTTGAGAAACTGGACATCATTGTCGAGTGAGTGTTCCGGAGAACATTCTTTCTTTTCGCCTTTTTCAATGATTGAATGCTTAATTCGAATGCTACGTTAGAATAGTAAAACGATGTTGAAGTGGAGTGCTTATATCTATATCTTTTTTGACGGAGGCGCCGAGTCATTGTAAAGGCCATATCGCCTTCAGTATGACACTATGACTCTTGAGTGGAGTTCATGGCGCATCTCAAAAAAAAAACATTACACACGCATTTCAGTGCGACCACTACCCTTGTGCTTCATTCCCCTTTGTTCCCAATTGAATAATCGATCAAAAAATCTGCCAGAATCTTCATACTTTTCAATTTTTCACTTGTTTATTTGTTTATACAGAGATGCATAAGAAGATGGGCTTTAGAGAGTGATAAAAGGTAGAAAACGACCTAGTCCAGATTCGGTGGTATGCCTCCGATTATCAGAGCAACCTGTTACCAGAGCAAGTTTGCAAGAATAGCCACGCGCGGTCGAGCTGCAGATCTGTCTGTTCATTCAGCCATAGAGTTCATAGAGTGAAAAAGTGAAATGTGAGGTCTCCTCCAAACAGCACCATCGATTGCATAACTGGTCCGAATTTTTCCCATAGATGACTGGAATACTTGCAGAAAAACAACCGTCACTGCTCTTGCAGGGGGGGGGAGGCTTGTAGGTGACATCTCGCGGGTGTCACAGGGCACTTAATAAATTTCTGAAGAGTTTTCACTATACTAACTCTGGCCGAACTTGAACTTCAAATAAATCGAACTAGCCAACTAGCCACAACATTTGTACTTATTTTTATCTTGAAAGAGTAGCAGGCTTTCCCCATTATACCTTGCAGAGGTTGTCCCATTGTACTCTTTGCGAAAAAGCTCCACCGCAATTTTCATCCCTTGGCGACGATCTTTTTCTTGACTTTTCATTTCGTAGCGGTTCAAGACAAATGAGCCGGAAAGGCGAAATTGCCTCACCGAGAAAATTGGACGGCAGAAAGAAGGGGGGTATTTGGGAAGTCGAAAAATGACCTCTTATTCAATTGCATCTAATTTAAAATGGCATTTAATTGCATTCTTTCTTGGTCAGAACGTCAAGGGAATCCGATAAGCGAGCAGTGCTGGGGGCACGGTGGCACGAGAAGATAAAGACACTAAGTCGCGCGACTCTTTTCTTCCAAATGATGCATCTGATTCGAATCGAACCGCGCGTAGTACCCCAAAAGGAATCAGTCCGGAACCTGAGAAAATTATTCTCCGATTCCCTTTTGTTTCCCCTTACTCAACTTGTTTTTCTAATTTGGAAGTCCCCTCAGAGGAGTCAAAAGAAATAAAAAATGCAAATGAACAGGCGGAAAGTCCAAACCTCATTTCGTTCACTTTTAATTAGAACCTGGCAAAAACAGTTCGTGACGTCAAAGCATTCCCAAGAATCCTTCAAAAACGCCTCGTGCTCCGAGGGAACAATTAACCCTATCGACATTCTCAATGCGGTCTACTGTATCGCCCACAAATTATAGTTAAGGCATGAAAACTGTCAAGGAGTTTTCCAAAATTATATGACAGTGAATGGTAGACAATTTCAGTCAATATCGTTATGCTCTTTGTTCAATAATTTTAGGATTTATTCTTATTCCCCCAGTTTTTGAAATTAGAGCGGATATGGATAGAAGAGTTTTTTTATGGGTACAAACGTCGAGCGAGACCACGAATGATAAATATTGCTAGACATAATAAATACCACTTGGTTGACGTCATATATTTTCAAGTGGACCTCATGGACCATACGCACGTGGTCCACGAGTTTTTCTTCGAAAATTGAAGTGAATGGAAGTAAAGAGATAGGTAAGGGTTAAACTTTCAGATAGAAGGGTTATTGGCGCTTCGAAACTCTGGCTTTCTTTTCTTATTTTGGAAATTTTCTCTGATATAAACATCAGTTTACCATCGTTAATCATTTCAGATACCAAAGATGTACTCAGTTCATCGCTAAAATCCATAATGGAAGAAAAAGCTGGAGCAAATGCCCAAGCACATCCGCTTATAAAATGAATTTGACAATTTCGACCCCTGCTCGTTTTTCACGTACATCACTGACGTAAATTTGGCATTTAAGAACAATTACGTTTGTCCTTTTATGGCCACTCAATTTTGAATTCATTGACT